CCAATCCAGACGCCCATTGAGCCTCAGACCACCTTTGCCATCGAATGGTGCGCAAAGAATCAGTATGAGTTGATGATGCTAGACCCTCCCCCGACCTGCCTTTTTGGCGACATTACTCAGATTCTGAACCCCACTGTGTCGGACACTCTCACTTCTTGTATCAATCGGATGCACATTGACGACCTGGTCAGAGTCATAAAAACCAAAGGGTTGGTTCTCAATAAAGGCGAATGCCTTATTCATGAGAGGAGTTGTTCTTGCCGCCGGTCGCAGATACATGTGGAGACATAAGCAAACGCCCACCCACTCCAGCCCCCCAGTCCACCCCAGGCCCTCCCCTATTTTGTCGGTCGGTGCGGGTGGTACAACTGGGTTGGGCGGTCTCTCCTCCTTCGAGGTGGCTGGCACGCCATGTCCAATGTGGTCTCGACAGCGTAGAAGAAGCAGTTCAATGCTGGATTTCAAGACCAGGCAGGATTTCTTGGTTTTTGTATGTTGGGCGGCTCAGAGGCTTCTACTCCAAGAGGATCTGGTCGTTCACGAAAACGTCAAGGATTTCCCAATATGGCTTTTGGAAACGATATTCGCTTCAGTGTATGTAGTAAGTACGGCTATATTAGATGTCGCCAACATGGGTTTTCCTGTGAACAGGGAGCGTAGGGTAACCATCATGATCCATAAACGTCTGATTGCAGATTATTTGCCCAGAACAATTTCCCAGTGGACATGGGCTGAATTTGCACAGTGGGTCGCCCGAGAATGTGGCATCGACTTCAGAGCTTTCTTGCTGGCGTCTTCAGATGAGCTCGAGTCCGAGCTTGCATGGGCCTCTTCGAGAAGATCATCTCGGGCCTATACCCTGCCCGTGGAGGCGCGGACCTTCGAAGGAAGCCTCAGTGACTTTGAGATCGGGAACTTACACGCTTATATCCGAAATGGGTGCGAGGGCGCATGCATTCTAGACCAAAACCCTGATTTCCATCGCCACGCTACTGGGTCTGGGCCAAACTTATTCACCATTGTGAAATCGTCCACCTCGATCATTTACTGCGTGCGGGAGCATCGCTGGTTTACACCTCTGGAGGCGATATTGTCAATGGGATTCCCTGTCTATCCGCAGTTCGCAGATCTTGGAGGGGAGGGAAGGGAGTCAGGGGAGTTTCATTGTTCAGACGCTTGTAGATTGTAATGGGAAGTGGGGAGGGAGGCTCGACGTCTTTTTCGAGGAGGCGCGAGGCCTTTGACTTGCCCGCCCGGGCGAGGAAGGCGGTCCTAGAGCAAGCAGGGAATTCATTCAATCCTTGCATTGTTGGGTTTGCAATATTCTTTTTCATGGTGCGGCGCTGCCCGTGGACCCCCGAAGCAGGCGAACCTTCGTCAGTCGTTCCACAAGCGTTGGTTCGGGCTGCTGCGATCAGTAGTCGCAGAGTCGCCAGGAGACTGTCATAGCGAGCGCATGTCATTGCACGTACAATCTCGGTGCATTGCGAATGAAGCATTGAGCCGTCCTACAGTGGAGGGGGAGGAGGAGAAGGAGGAGATGGAGGAGGAGGAAAAGGAGGAGAAGGAGGAGAAGGAGGATGAGGTGAACTATCAATTTGCGCTGCCGCGCGAACCCGCCAATGGAAGTTCTAAGCCCCCCTCCCCTTGATAAATGCATCTCCAACTGGCGATGACATGATATACAACCCACTGCACCATGATAAACTCACTCAACCCACTTGCCAAATACTTAAAATGACTCCGAGCAGACTGCCCAGTTGATCATTTATATCATTGTCGGTGTGAGGTTTTTCTATAATATACCAACACACGATCGCCCTGTTGTATTAAATAAAGAAAACGCGGCGAACGCAATATCAATTACTAACGTCGCCGCGGCGTGCAAGTACAATACTACCGCGTTGCTGAAGTGTCGCGTAACATAACATAGCCTCCCACGGATGTCCAGGAGGACCTGTGCGTGAGAGGTCGGGACAGAACGTGTCTGTCCCCACGGTCCTTAAGGAGCTCCTGACAGAAGCGCGGGGGGGTCATCAAAGACCTGGGGACCTTGATCCCCACGCCTAATTGATGTCCATCAAGCCTCCGCCTTCTCCCTCATCCAACCCTATTCCATACTCCTGGCGTGTAGCTTCCTCCGTTCCCATGTATCTCCCGCTATCTCATTCGCTTGCCTCCAGCCCTTTACCTCATACACTCTTGTTCCTGCCCCGTCCATCCTCCCCCCCCCTTCATCCTTCCTTCCTCCGCCCTGCCCCTCCCCGTCCCTCTCCTTTTCACTTTGCATTCCCCTGTCCTCCCGCTCACCTCCTCCTACTCCTCCATCTCTCTCCTACGTCCGCCTCCTCCCTCCGCCGTCTCTCTTCCCCACGTCCTCCGCCGCATTGAGCTTCCACCTTTTCCCGCCTTCCTCCACTCTACTCGTTCCGCTTCCTCCCTCCTCTATCTTGCCTCCTGGTACCACCATCTCGCATTCATGTACGGGGATGGCCCGGGCCGCAGCATGCACAGGGCACCCAGGGCCCCCTAATATGGCGCCTCCTCTCCGAGCTCCCCCAGGAGGCCCCCAGAGCTGTGCAGAAGTGCCAAGATGGCCTCGCGATGGTCCCAGGACGCCCCCAGGCTGGCCCAGGAAGTCCCCAGCAGCACAATGAAGCACCAAGAAGCCGCCAGAGTGCCCGCACAGGACTTCCAAGAGGGCCGAACCAGTCAACATCAAAAGGAATCCCAACGTGTTTTCCTTTCCTTTCTGAAGTTTCCATTAGTTGCCAACGCGTGCCACGCGTTGACAGTACGGGGGGGACCATTTGAGCCTCCGAGGCCATCTTGGAGCCACTGGCTCCAAGATGGCCTCGGTTGTCCCCAAGAGAGTTGCAAGATGCGCAGGGATAACCCAGGACTGCCGCGAGTAAAAGGCCTCACAGGAATCTGAGACATCCAGGCGTGCGTCTCCAAGTCAAGGGCCCGAGCACCCGGCGCCCTTTACGATCTGCCCCATGGCAGGTAGAATTTGAACGCGCCGCGAGCGATGGTTCAAGTGCATATAGATATATCAATATGTGCTACGGGTTACAGGGAGGTGATTGTAAAGTTCGTAGAGGGCTTCGATGGGCTAAGGAGGACGGCTTCGGATGTCTCGAGGCGGTCTGACACCTTGCGAATCTTCATCTTGGAGCTTTTGAGTTCGGCTGAGCGGTGCTCGGCCTCCTCGGGACGGTTCTGGAAGATGCCCGACAGGATTTGGAAGTTTCTTGGGAGTTACGTGGTGTGTCCGTGCGCAAGGATTTGGATCATTTGCGGGTGTTGCTGCAGTTGTTCTTTGGCGGATGCATGCGATGTTCAATTATTGCGAAGGCCTGACGGCCGGTGCCGCCGACCCTGTTCGCAATGCGCAGCAAGAGATTACGAGGTTGCTCAAGGTCGGCTTGGCTGGAGCCCAGGGGAAGAGGAGTCCCAGGGGGGGGCGTCGTATCTGACCCGGGGGGGGGTCGCTACCCCCCCCCCCCTCCCGGCGGGGGAGGGATCAAAGGGAAGGGGCTTCCCTTCGACTCAATTACGAGGTTGCTCAAGGTCGGCTTGGCTGGAGCCCAGGGGAAGAGGAGTCCCAGGGGGGGGCGTCGTATCTGACCCGGGGGGGGGTCGACCCCCCCCCCCCTCCCGGCGGGGGAGGGATCAAAGGGAAGGGGCTTCCCTTCGACTCAATTACGAGGTTGCTCAAGGTCGGCTTGGCTGGAGCCCAGGGGAAGAGGAGTCCCAGGGGGGGGCGTCGTATCTGACCCGGGGGGGGGGTCGACACCCCCCCCCCCTCCCGGCGGGGGAGGGATCAAAGGGAAGGGGCTTCCCTTCCTCTTACGACTCAATTACGAGGTTGCTCAAGGTCGGCTTGGCTGGAGCCCAGGGGAAGAGGAGTCCCAGGGGGGGGCGTCGTATCTGACCCGGGGGGGGGGTCGACACCCCCCCCCCCCTCCCGGCGGGGGAGGGATCAAAGGGAAGGGGCTTCCCTTCGACTCAATTACGAGGTTGCTCAAGGTCGGCTTGGCTGGAGCCCAGGGGAAGAGGAGTCCCAGGGGGGGGCGTCGTATCTGACCCGGGGGGGGGTCGACACCCCCCCCCCCCTCCCGGCGGGGGAGGGATCAAAGGGAAGGGGCTTCCCTTCGACTCAATTACGAGGTTGCTCAAGGTCGGCTTGGCTGGAGCCCAGGGGAAGAGGAGTCCCAGGGGGGGGCGTCGTATCTGACCCGGGGGGGGGGTCGACACCCCCCCCCCCTCCCGGCGGGGGAGGGATCAAAGGGAAGGGGCTTCCCTTCGACTCAATTACGAGGTTGCTCAAGGTCGGCTTGGCTGGAGCCCAGGGGAAGAGGAGTCCCAGGGGGGGGCGTCGTATCTGACCCGGGGGGGGGGTCGACACCCCCCCCCCCCTCCCGGCGGGGGAGGGATCAAAGGGAAGGGGCTTCCCTTCGACTCAATTACGAGGTTGCTCAAGGTCGGCTTGGCTGGAGCCCAGGGGAAGAGGTCTCCCAGGGAAAGGGAAGGACAGAGACGACGAGTACAAAGAATGACGGAGATGACGGCTCGAACGGAAAAGCCCCTCACACACGCCGACAGGGTCGGCGGATTTCGGAAGGTCCGCGAGCGTTCTAGAAGGCACCCAGACGGTCCGGGACGACCGTCGGAGTCAATGAGAAACAGCACCAGTAGTATGTTCCCCCAAACAAATGCGAGGGATCATCCTTCTGGGATTTGACAGAGAATGGGAGCGGTCTGGCAGGATGAGCCTGCTCGAATCTTCCTCCTTCTCCTTCGAAGGCATGATGTTCCGCGGGTACCATGGAGTACTTCAGCTGTCCATGTGCTATGGGGTATGGGGCTTTCGCCTTGTGCGTGAGTAGTTCGCCCGCTCGAGATTACGACCCTTCCCCCCGCAGCCATTGTGAGCCAACTCAACATGGCAAGGATTGCTGCATCTGACATGTTCCCCCGATACCGATACCTGTGAAATGTTGCCGCGCTGGCCATGGTGCACCTCGCTACACTATCTGTTCTTTTGTGCCAGTTTCGCGCTCGTTCCAGTTCTTAGTGGGAGGTATGCGGTCGAGGATGTTTGTTCATTGATTCAGTTGCACGTTGAGGGCAACGATCATGTTGGGTTCGATGTGGTAGAGCCGAGGCCGTGGAGCGTGGCCCGAAAGTTGGCCACTCGCACTGTCGCCAAGCTCACGGTGCAGGAGCGCAATGGCCTTTTGCGCGGCTTGGATTTGCCGCGCGACTACGCGGGCAACTACATCGGTAGTACAGCTGCTGTGCCCCGGCTCGGAGTGCCCGCGTTGAAGATGCAGGACAGCGCCCTCGGCTTCCGCACCACGGCCAACGACACGCACAACACCACGACGTGCTTTCCGTCGATGTTGGCCCTCGCTGCAACCTGGGACGAGGAGACCGTGGGCCAGACTGCTAGGATGATCGCTGAGGAGTTCCGCGGCAAAGGAGCTAACGTGATCTTGGGCCCGGAAGTGAATGTGGTCAGGACCGCCTATGGCGGGCGCAATTTCGAGTCGCTCTCTGGCGAGGACCCGCACCTGGGCGCTCGCCTGACCAGGGCATACGTGACGGGAGCCCAGGGCGCAGGCGTGATCACGGTGGCGAAGCACTGGGCCTTCAACGAGCAGGAGACGAACCGCAGGAACGAGAGCTCGCAGGTGGACAGCAAGACCGCGTGGGAGCTCTACTACCCGCCCTTCGAGGCCGCCGTCGAGGCGGGCGCCGGCGGCTTCATGTGCTCGTACAACAAGGTGAACGACACGTACGCCTGCGAGAACCCCGAGCTGCTGCACCGGGATCTCCGAGGCTTCAACAGCAAACATTCTATACATATATGTATATACATGTATATATATATATATATATGTATGTACGCATATACTGTTGACTTCCGCGCGGGTTTCTCGGATCGGCGCTTGGCTCCCCTGGCGGCGCCTCCGTCGCAGCCCCTGGCGCATTCCGCGCGCCAGGGATGGAGGTTCCAGCGCCGATCCAAGAGATCCGCGCAGATCTCCAAAAGTGCATGTTTTTGCAATTGCTTATCATCTAGAGGCATGATGGGCTTCTCGGGCTTCGTGGTGTCAGACTGGGGCGCCACTCACAGCACCGCTGTCACGGCGGGCCTGGACATTGTGATGCCAGTCGGCGGAGAAATGGGATACTACAACGACACGCAGCTGAGGGAGTCGCCCGCCTCCGATGTGGACCGAGCGGCTGCCAACGTGCTGACTGCAATCTACCGCCTCCGCCTGGACGCACACGCGAACGACGCGCTTGGATGCGAGCCTCCAGCTTGCGAGGCGCCCATGCGGTCTGACCAGATGAGCGCCCAGCACACCGCGCAGAGCCTTCGTGCCGCGACGCAGTCGATCACGCTGTTGAAAAACGAAAACGAGACGTTGCCTCTGGATCCCCGTCGCGTGAAGACGCTGGCTATCTTCGGACTGGTGGCTGCCTCCGTGCAGCCGAAATTTTACTCTGGGCATGGCTCCGGCCACATAAACCCGAAGGCGCCCGTAACGCCACTTCAAGCGATCCAGGCTCGTGCGGAGGCTGCGGGTATCCAGGTGATATCGCGGACCAGCCAGGAGCCGCTTGCGGAGGTGCTTGAGGCAGCCTCGCGGGCAGACGTGGTGCTGGTAGTCGGTGGAGCCTCATCTCGAGAGGGGTATGACCGAGACAACCTTCGGCTCAACGGCGACGCCGACGCCATCGTTACCGCTTGTGCCTCGCGGAGGCCGACCGTGGTGCTCATGCAGACTCCGGGTCCAGTCCTGACGCCTTGGCGGAACCAGGCCGCCGCGATCGCGAACCTCTTCCTCGCGGGGGAGCAGACGGGCAGGGCGTGGGCGCAGGTCCTCTTCGGGGACGCCGAGCCCGAGGGCCGGCTGCCAGTGATGTTTCCAGCGGGGAAGATGGACTCCATCTCTCCCTCCGACAAGCTCCGCATATCCTACCGCGAGCAGCTGCGGACCTCCTACCGATCGCCGCGGTACCACGCGGCGTTCCCCTTCGGGCACGGCCTGTCGTACACGCGCTTCGACTACAGCCCACTGCGCCGGTGCAGCACCGCACCCTCCGGCGGCGCTCGGCGCGCGGACGAGCGCGCCTGCCTCACGCTGCGCGTGGCGAACTCGGGCCGCCGCCCTGGCCGCGAGGTCGTGCAGGCGTACGTGGAGTTCGGCGGCGCGGGCGCGGCGGGCGAGCCCGAGCGCGTGCTGCGGGGCTTCCGCAAGACCGGGGTGCTGCAGCCGGGGGGGGGCGAGGACGTGACGCTATCTCAGGGTGCAACTCCTGGGAGGTCAACTGCAGTCAACCCGCGTGGCAAGGATGGGCAACCGTCCCAAGGGTACCCTTGCATCCTTGTCCCTTCGGCCCATCCCTAGCGACTTTCGCTGGCCAGCCTCGTGCGAAAAACGTTCACGCGGGCCTCCAAGGCCCTTGCAGCCTTACCGCGCATCCCATCCCTATGCTACGGGTGAACTGTATCGCCCCCGCAATCGCGGACAAGAGTGAGGGGGCCGCAGGGGTCGTCGGGAGTCTGCGAGGTTTTGCAGAACCCCGCATCAGGCGGCGCGCAATGTTTGAACCACATCACACAACGAGCTCGCCGCAAGTGCGGATTTTTTCGTCAAGGCAAGGTGGATGGGTCGCCGTTGGGTCGTGGGTGGTTCGCAGGGTGGGTCGCGTGGAAGGTTGCAGATGGGGTCGCGGGGAGGGGGGGGACGACACCAACAGCAGCAACAACGAACAACAAGCAGAATGAGGGCCACAGAATCATCCCGCTTCGCCCGCGCACCCACGGATACTGTAGGACCGTTCGGCCCCCTCTTTCTGCCGTAGACACGCTAACAGCGATGTAGGTTACGGCGATGCAGGTGTCGGTATTGGTAACGCGTTGCTCGTGCTTTCCTGCACTTCGCTGTGCCGTTTTCGTTGGATGCATTCGTATTTTGCGAATGTCGGACAGCGTGGTTCGTGATTTCCTGCCAGCTGGTTCCCAGCATCACCGTTCAGCAGCATCGCCGTTCGCGCGGCCTCGGCTCTGAACAAGCTCAGCATCGGCGCTGATGTGTCGTGAAAGCCGGCTGATAGGAGGCCTGCCTTGGTCGACTAGACGTAAGAGTGTCGGGGCTGGACAGAACCCCCAATAGTGACACGTCGATTAGTGAATTGTCCGTTTTCGGTTCTCGAGAGGGCGCCGTGGCCGTTATTTTCCAGGCTTGCGCCCGCCAGGTTTGGGCCTCAGGTCGTTTTCACTAAACCACGTTTTACTAAAGGGGGGTCTGTCCATCCCCGAAGATGGCCGACCGCGAAGCGGTAGCAGCGGCCAGCGCGCCTGGATTTGGCCTCCCCGCGGCCTCCAAGAAGCTGCGCACCAAAGGTCACTCTTGCCCAGGGTCACTCTCTTCTGTGTAGCCGACTTGGGCTCAGGAGTGGCTCTGGGCTTCGGGCCGCTTCTCCTGGCCAGGTCGGGGGGGCCTCTTAAGAACCGAGGCCCGCCGTTGCCAGGAAGGCCCCTTCGTTTCTCCGCTGGCGTTCCCGACGTCAGCACCTCCACTGCATCCGCAGGCGAAGGGCGGCCCAGTCTTCTTTCAGAGTCCTGGTCGACTCAGGGTCATCCGGCTGAGCCGTGCTCCATCCAGAGCTTAGCTGCCTCGATACGCACGTTTTGATACGCAACACGTACCGTACTCAAGACGTCCGTGCCAATACGTTGCGTGTCGGCTCCACGTATGGGACCACGTTTTGGCGAATGTATCGCGTCGGACCCACGTATTCAGGATACGTGTTGAGCTTCGTATCAATACGCTACGTGTTGTGTGTTGCCTATCGGGGCGGCTAAGATCCGAGGCTGAATCTTTTTGAGTGCGGCCCAGTGGCCCTTCAACCAGGGCTGCTGAGACAGGGCTGGACTTACATGCTGTTTTGTTGGACTTCGGCCGTATTCTGTTGTTCGCTTTGGCAGGGCGCTACAGGAAAACAGGCAGAGCAAACCGACACAACGGAGACAACACGAAAACCTTGGTCCAGCCCTGTAAGATCGGGCCGAACGAACGGGGGGAATAGGGAAAGGGGGGGGTGCGAAATCTGCTGCATGCAGCTGGTTTCGGCCCCGCCGCCGGGCCCATTCCTCGACACGTGGGCGCCTCCTGGCGCCAAGAGGCGCTGGGAAAATCGGCTACGTGAGCTGATTCTCTGCCCTACCCTTTGCTATTTCCCCACCCCTTTCGCTCCCCCCCTCCGAGAAGAGCCCTCGGTCATCCTCGCACAAGGCCTCCCAGGCGTTGCCTCCTGGCCGATCTTTCACCGCGCGGGACCTCTCCGTGTACGAGCCCGGCCGCGGCTGGCTCGTGCCCTCGAGCGCCCGGGTGCACGTCGGCTCGTCGAGCGCCGACATCCGAAGAGCAAACAGCGCCAGAAGCATAAACTTGAACGTGAGCGTTTTTTTATCCATTCTTTTGCCGATCGGCGCGGGCCCTCGTACTCCCTCCTCCCCCCCCCTTGGAGTGGACCTTGGCTGTTTTTGGCGCCTGTTTCGAGCAGGTGGAGTCTCCCCTCACAGGACGCACTGTCGCAAACAGTCGCACTAAGCAGAGGGTCGGAGCCACCCCCCCCCCCCCCCCTCACCTCTTTTCCGCCCACCGTCGAAACGCCGAATAAAAACAAAAAAATCGCTCACACGGGGCTCAGGGACACACAGATAGATACACACACAAATCCCAGGACCCCCCATATGTTCCAATATTCTCTGGATTTTCGTTTTCCCCCCCGCTTCCCAGATGTTCCCATCTTTTCCTGGGAATCGGCGATTCATTGTGCCTGTGTGTTTTTTCCCCTCCTGATCTTGGCGCTTCGCGCGGATCTCTTGGATCCGTGTTGGGCCCCCCCCGCGGCGCCTCGGGCGGGGCCCCTGGCGCGCTCCGCGCGCCAGGGCGGGGGATCCAGCGCAGATCCAAGAAGTCCGCGCGGGGCGCCAGATGTCAGGAGGGGAAAAAGCACACAGACACAATTAATCATCGATTCCCCGGACAAAATGGAAAAATATGGGAAGTGGGGGGGCAACAAAAACCCAGACAGAAAACATGGGAAAATATGGGGAGTCCTGTTATGTTTGTCTCTTTCTTTGTGTGTCCCAGGGCCCCTTCAAATGGTCATGTGTGTGGCGTTTGTTTCCTTCTTCTGGGCATCAGGCAGGCCATGCGGCTGTTCTAGGGGGGAGGGGGCAGCAGCCGCGCCGAGGGGGCCGCGCGCCCGCGCGTTTGCGCCTCCTCGGCCCGTGCGCGCGCCCCGCCGACCGCCCGCTCCGCGGAAGGGCGGCTGCCGCCCCCGTCGGGGGACGGCGTGCCCGCGCCGCTGCGGGCGTCCTCGCGCGTCGCTGCCGCCGCCGCGGGGGGGGGGGGGGGCAGACGCCGTCGAGTCCTGAAAAACGCGCGACGGGAGGTTTCTCCCTGCTTTCCAAGGGCTCCCACGTGGGCGCGAAGCGATTCGCGCTTCGCGGTCCTCGTTCCTTCTCCCCCTCCCGCTCGTCCTCCTTCGCTCCCTTGGGGGAGGCGGCGCGAGAGCGCGAAGTTTTTCGCGCTTCGCGTTTCGCGGAGCGCGAAGCGCGCAGTTGGGAGCCCTAGTTTTCGGCCTCCAAGGGGCCCTCGCCGGGCCCCCGGACCGTCAGAGAACGATAGCCAGGATGCGACGCCGGTCATGGAAGCTGGGTGGAGACCTCTGGGGAGCATGACGTCGGGGAATCAACAAGATGCACACATGAACATAAGCTGGCGGAGGTCCGCGCGGATTTCTTAGAACGGCGCTGGAGCCCCCCCGGCGGCTCTGGCGCCACCGGGTGCATTCCGCGCGCCAGGGAGGGGAGGCCAGCGCCGATCCGAGAAAGGCGCGGGGACCTCCGAAGGTTTCTGTGTTTACCTGATTTCCTGTTCCCCGACCTCGGCCTCCAGGGCCCGTCGTATGGCCCCAGTTCTAGGCCTCCAAGATGGGGTCGAAGTAGATGGGGTCGGAGGATCGCTCCGCATCGCCGATGCATCGGCCATGCGGCTCGACGTGGAGCCTGATGTTCTTTACGCCGACGTCGCCGACATATCGCTGACGTCCCCGATGCATCGGCGATACGACGCGACCCTCCGACCCCATCTACTCCGACCCCGTCTAGGTGGCTTCTACGCCGGGGCCCTTCCTATGGCCCCAGGGCCCTCGAGAATCGGCCCGTGGCGGGCCTTCTCCAGAGCTCAGTGCGGCGCCCGCCTCCGAGCCGGATCACGACGGGGGCGAGGCAGACTTGCCGAGCGGGTGCCCGCGAGATCTAGGGGGCGGGATGTGAGGGAACAGCCGGCGCTCGAGCGCCAGCCCAGAAGGCCACCGAAACCGCACCCCCACCCCCTTTTATGCAAAGGAGGAACAGGTAACTACACGTACTTTTACCCTTCGCCCGTTTTTCCTTTTTTGGGCCTCCTGGGAGGCCCTCGTCGCCACCGCTGGATTCGCTTCGAAATCTTGGTCAGAACGTACCCCTGAAGAGGTCCAGGGGGCAACAGTATCGGTCCTGTTGGATTCCCTAGTTGCCCAAGTCCTGGCCACCCCTGGTGCAGGGGATGAGCTGGGGGCGGGGGGGGGCGGGGTCCTCAAGACTGCCCCCCGGGGAAGCGGTCAAGACGTGTCATTGCCGGGCGTCCATGCAGGTCTTCACCGCTGTCACCTGTCAATGGCCGCCCGCCCCTGCGCTGGGGACCGCGTGGGGCCAGCCGAGGCTCCCAGGAGGCCCTCCTCGCGAGGTGGACAGACAAACGTGTTGAACAATATTTTGGACAGAGATCCTTCCCTGTTTGCGGCCTCTAGGGGCCCTCGGCCGGCACCAGAACCGTCAAAAATGACTCAGGGTGAAGAGCCAGTCCCTGGCAGTGGGTCGAGACTTCGGGGACCCCGTTCAAAATAACAAATCGAGACATCGAACCTCTGAGGAGCGGAAGCCATATCCAAACGCACCCTCAGGCGCAGCGCATTTTCTAGCGTAGACCTTCCCCGCGATTGGCACAGTCGCAGGAGGACGCAAGCGGTGGCGCGAGCTCGATTGATCTCAGGCCACCTGCTGCCGCGGGGGCACTGAGCCCCTCCCCCTCCCGAGACTTTGTCCGTCGCAGTGCGGCAGTGGCAATCCGCACGCGCGCTCTAGTGGTAGCCCGGGGCATGGCGTACCCATTGTCTGGCGGCACGAGGGAGGGAAGGAGGCGGAGGGCGGCCGCGGGAAGCGGGTGGGGGAGGAGAGCGCTCACCGCACGATGGGCGTCGGCAGGAGTGGCCGGGGCTGCCGGCCATTGCGGAGGCGACCCAGCAGTGGACGTGGAGCGGCATCGCGCCCACACCCAGGGGCTGAGGCAAAGGCGGCAGGCGCTGCAAGCGTAGACCACCGCCTCACGAGACATCCCACATCCGCTTTTGTGCGCAATGTGGCTTCCCAGAAGTCTGGGCCCCCTTCCCAGGGAACGTCCAATCATGCCCCGTTTTTGACCGTCCCCCTGGACCGTTGAGGCGGAAATCTGCAAGACTCAACATGGCATTGCGATTCCTGCACGACGCGAGGACGGCGGGATATCACCTCGCCCTCCCCCACCCACCCTTCAGGGTCCATGCCGATCCGATTTGACATTGGTTCGGCATTGATGCAAGCCGGCCCGATACGGCCCGATACCGAAATTCTGGCGATCCGATGCTGCCCGATGTTTGCGCGGCGCTGTTGTGCATTCTGACGCGGCTCCGATCCGATCCGAGATTCCGATTCCGATCGGGTGCAAACCGGTTCGGTGCGCGCGTTCCGATTCCCAGGGGTGCGATTTCTTGGATTGTCATCACGGGGTCCCCGCAAGTCTCGGCCCCCTTCTGGGCACCAGCTTTTCACCCTGAGTCGTTGGCCTGGTTCGACCCGCTCTTCCGACCCGATGCTGGTCGATGGTGTTTCTCGAACGCCCAGACGAGGCCAACCTTCCGGGAGCTGCTGAGAGACGCGGAGCTCACGCCGCGCGGCGGCCTGCACTTCCAGGAGAGTGGTGGCGGGGGTCCGCGGACGACGTGTGTGCACCGTGCCGCGGTGGCGCCTCCCGAGGCCTCGTCGATCCTCGGCCCAGGGATGGTACGGTGCCTACTTTTTCGGCCTTCGAGGCCAACATAATGTGTGCATCGTGCCGCGTCGGAGCGGCGCCTGGGATGGAGACCGATCGCGGTACGGTGCATGGGCGCCGTGCGCTCGCGCGTGGGGAGTGGGGACATACAGTCAACCCGCATAGTAAGGATGGGCAACTTCCCCAAGGGTTTCCTGACATCCTTGCCTCCTCGGCCCATCCTTGACCACTCGCGTTGGCCGCATCCCGCTCGAGAAGCTTCGACATGGACGTCCAGGGGCCTTGCATCTTTATCGTGCGTCCTTCTGACTTGGACCGACTGTACGTGAGGTTGTGGACGCATGCGCGCTTCCCCGAACAGTGCTTGCCCTTAGGGGGCTCTGGTGTAAGTTACCTGAGGACTTGGACGGGTGTGCCGCGGTGTCGCCTGGCGCCCGTGGGCGCCTCGTGGGCGCCTCGTGCGCCGGCTGGGTGTAACGGCTTCGCCTGCTGCCCGCCCGTGGGCGCCTCCTGAAAGCCTCGTGCCTGGGGCGGCCGCACAGAGTGCACCACGTAGCTTGGACGTCACAGCTTACACCGCGTACACTGCACCGACTGATTTGCACCACCTCGCTTGTACGATATGGCTTGCACCACACGGCGTGCAGGACATTGCTCGCACCTCGAAGCTTGCAGCGCACATGTTTCACATACGTTGCACGATGTGTAGCTTGCATCACAACGCCTTGCAACTCGCAGCTTGCACCGCGTAGCTCACACCACATAGCTTTCGCCACATTGGTTATTCCACGTACTTTGCTTTACACAGCTCAACGCGTGGACAGTGCATGAACTTACTGTTTTGGGTCCACGCTGGCAAACATGTTCGGACTGCGCGTGCGTACGAGCATACGGCGACGGCGACGCGTCTGGAATGGTGCTCGTGCGTTGCCAGCGCTGTTCTTCTGGATGCTGCCTGGAGTTGTGCCTCCAGTAAGTGTTTTTGGATCTTGTCCCAAGTGGGGCGTTCATTCTAGAGGTGGCGTCTGGCATTGAGTGGTGGCGTGTGCCTCTCAGGTGGCGTCTGGCATTGAGTGGTGGCGTGTGCCTCTCAGACCGATGTACGTTTTTGCGACAACCGATGTGTGACCTTGGCTTGATACGAGTATCTGGCCATGCCATGTGCAGCGTCCATGCCGACGTTGAGACACGAGTGTGTGAATGCCCCCCCGCCCCCCGAGTCGGGCCTTTCTTTTCCGACGCGGCCGAGCCGTTTCGACCTCTCCTCCCCCCTTTTCCGCGCTCTTCGCTCGCCCTCCCCTCGGCTGGTGGTGCGCCTGCGCACCAGGGCTTCCTGAAGCTGGCCCGGGGCTGCCACGACCTCATGGAGCAGGACCGCGGGGAGGGCGCGGCGGAGGAGGGGTGCGCGGGTGCTGCCGGAGTGCCCCCTTGCCCAATGTGCCCTCAGGAGGTCCAAGGCGGCGCCCACGGCCTCCCGAGCGCCACTCACGAGGCCCCGGGGGGCCCCAGAGGCTCCGGAGCGGAGCGACACGCTGTGGGCACCCTGTGCCAGGGGTATTCTCACTGCAACCCCCGAGCGGAGCGCGTTTTCAGCGGACACCGGGCGCCTCGAGCGGTCGTCGAGGCGGCGGGCCCGTTGGCATTTGTGGCCTCCGGAGGTCGGCTTGGGGCCCCGGGGCCGCGGGAAAGAGAGCGCTGTACAAGTTCGGCCCAGGCAAGTCTCCTTTCATGCTCCCCCCCCGCCCCCTCCCCTGCCCCCCCTTTGGCCGCCTGCTCAAACAGCACCGGGCCGAGCGGGCGGGCAAGCGATAGTCCCAAGTCTGGACTTGCGTGGAGTTCAGATCCCCTGGTGATCGTTTTTTATCCATTGTTTTGCCGATCGGCGCGAGCCCTCGCCCCTCCCCCTCCCACCCCCTCTATGGAGTAGATCTTGGCTGTTTTTGGCGCCTGTTTCGAGCAGGTGGGGACCCTCCCCCGTCGGACGCACTGTCGCAAAGAGTCGCCCCAAGCAGAGGGCCGGAGCCAGACCCTCCCCTCTCCCCCCCTCTTCGCGCAATGTCGAGACGCCGAACAAAGAAGACACGCTCACCATGCGCAATAGTCCCAAGTCTGGACTTGCGTGGAGTTCGGATCTCCTGCCAGGCCTCGCCACGCCCCGCAGGGGCGCCCTCGCCCCGCCGTGCTCCCCGCCCCGCAATCGGTCGGACGGGGTCAGGACGAGGATCGAGTCCGCTCCAGAGCGTTCCAGAGGCCGCTCTCGAAGCGTTCCGGAGCGCTCTGAGAAGGGCGCGGCGCCCGAGACGGCCTCCAGAGCCGCCGGATCTCAGAGATTCTGTCGAAGAAGAAGAAACAACATAAACATTAACTTTTGGCGCTCCGCGCGGATTTCTTGGATCCGCGCCTGGGCCCCCCAGCGGCGCCTCCAGCGCCGCCCCTGGCGCGCTCCACGCGCTAGGGAGGGGGGTTTCAGCGCGAATCCAAGAAATCCGCGCGGAGCGCCAGAAGATTCTGTTCATGTGTTTTCTCCTTCTTCTATTTTGGATTTATCCTCCCCCGATGTTATCCTCGTCCTGGCTTCGTCTTGATCGGACCGCCGGATGTCTGGGGGGAGGCAGGCCGCCCCGTCCCCCTCCTCGAAGGAGGAGCAACTGCACAAGCATTGACCTTCGGAGCTCTGCTGGCGAGGTGCATCTCCAGGTCCACTCCGTCTTGGAGCGTTGGGCTCCCTTCCACAGAAATCCGAGGCGCAGCGGATATGGATCAAAACATTGTTCCTGGAGGCGAGTTGTGCTGCATACCCACTGCGCCGCCTCGATCTTTCGGCGTCCCTTCATGGGAAGTCCATGACGCAGCGGAAGATCTTGCCCGCAAGCTGCGCGCAGATTTCTTGGACCGGCACCGACGCCCCACGGCGGCGCCTCCGGCGCCGCCTCTGGCGCGCGCCGCGCGCCAGGTCTAGGGGTCCAGCGCCGATCCAAGAGATCCGCCTGGAGCTCCGAAATTTTCTGTTAATGCTGCTTGTTGCTCCTCTACTCCTTCGCCTCGTGTGCCTGAATTGCGATTCTGCGTCCCAGTCTGCCTGCCCGACCGCGCTGAGTGTTCGCTGGCGCTGCGATCAAAAACAGATGTCTGTGGAGAAGGCGGTGGAGGAAGTCAGAGGAGGAAAAGGCACCAGTGCCTCGTCGCCACAGCTGGATTCGCCTCACAGTCTTGGTCATAGCGCACCCCAGGAGAGGTCTGTGGAGTAGCAGTATCGGTATCTTTTTGATCTTCAGGAAGGAAGGAGGATGCCGAGTGAGTTCAGGCGCTTGGAGGGTGTTGCAGATCAGCGCAGCAACTCAGGTGGCATCCTTGCCCTGCTCGATGAGGATGAGGATCGAGATTGGACATAGGGGATATTAGGAGGATGAGGATCCAGAATTCAGAGTTCAGAGTTTGTTATCATGATTATGTTAGCCTTTGAACGGTTTCGGAGGCCTCCCTAAGACCTTTTTAGAGGGGAGGAGGAGAAGGCAGGAAGACTCTTTTACAATAGGTGGTTCCAGGGTGGCCAGGGGTGAGGGAGGAGGGATCGTTTCCCGCTCGCGCCTAACGCGCTTTTTTAAATCCCGCCTCTCCCCCCTTCGTCTCGCCTTCCATCCGTGTCAGTGCTGGAAGCGCTTATTCAAGTTTCAGACGCGCTGTGTTCAGGCGGGAACCACATTTCTGGAAGCCATTGCCCCTCTATTCATGTAGCTCTTGAAGATTCAAGCTGCATGGTGTAGAGTGTGAAGACGCAGGCGAAACGCCAGCCCGCCCTGCCAACACATGCGACAAAGAGGAGCTATCTAGAAGGGAAAAGGATGACAGTTTTGTTTGTTGCCGTGTGTTTCTGATGGTTTCTCATGATTGGGAGGGGGGGTCAGAGTGAGAAGAAGGCGAAGCAGCAGGAGGGCAAGAAAGCGACGCAGGGGGATCAGGAAGAGTTGTGAGGAGGAGGGGTAGGGGGAGTGAACGTTAGGAACGTCTAGGTCCCAATACTGCGGGCGGGGTGGGGCATTGCAGGAGGTTCCAGAAGAGCGAGAAGCGGAGCATGATAACGAAAGCAGAAGGCACGGGAAAGAACGGAGCGAACAGGTGAGGAGGGGGAAAGAGGAGGTTTGGGAGATTTGAGGAGCGTACAGGGAAGGATGTAGGAGGACCAGGAGTTCCGAGGAGCGACTACGAGAGCAGGGAGAGCAGTTGATAAGGAGCATCGCAGAATGATGGGGAATCAGATATGAAGAACAAGCAGGGGAGGAGGGGGAGCAGGAGGAGGAGGAGGAGGAGGAGGAGGACGAGGAGGAGGACGAGGAGGAGGATGAGGACGAGGAGGAGGAAGATGGAGCATGGGAAAAGCATGAGTGTTGAGCGTGCAGGAGGTGGAGTCGGAGGAGTAGGAGATGGAGGAGAAGGAGGAAGAGGAGGAGAAGGAGGAGAAGGAGGAGAAGGAGGAGCAGGAGGAGGAGGATCGGGTGACCCCTGCCACGCTCCCCTTTTGAAAGCCTTCTCGGTTTCCTGGCCTGTAGGGCTTCCAGCCCCGTTCCCGCCACGATGTTTGATCGCGGGGGGGCACGGAAGATGGCCCACTGCCAGTTGTGAATGCGAATGCACGAGCTCACCGCGTTCACCGCTGGGAGCTCGCACGACGGCAAGTTCAGCAGGACGGTGCAGTTCCCCACGCGGAGCTTGTTTCTTCGGAGCGCACGTAGGCAAGGCTACCAGAGCTAGCTCCTGTTGCTGAGTTTGTTCCTTTTCCCTTGCGCCTGTTTGGCATCTTATGTCCTACCTCTCTCTTTCCATGATCACGTTCCACCCGTGTTGAGTGGAGGTGCTTCCACCTCCTGCCCACCTCGTTGTTTTTGCGCGGCGCTGGGGGAACTCGCGGCATGCGTCGCTCCGCGCTGGGCAGGATTTGGCTCGACTTATCGATTGGGCATTTCATGGAGCCTCTGGCCGTGAGCGGCTTGTCGTTCGCCTCGCCTCCTTCCTCTCTCTGCGGTCAGGAGCTTGGGCTCAACGTGTCGCGCCGCCGGTTTTGGCCCACCACGCTTCGCGCCACATTCAGGAGGAGAAACAACACACAGACACAATCGATCGTCGATTCCACGGAAAATATGGGAAGTGGGGAGGGGAGAGACGAACACCCAGAAAGTATAGGAAAATATTGCGTATCCTTGGATTTGTGTGTATGTATTTGTGTGTCCTTGGGCCCCATTTACACATGCTATCCACATCCCCACTCCCAAGCGTCAGCGTCCCGAGCCTTTCCCAGCCTCCAACCCCGCGGAGCGGAGCCAAACGCCATCCGCTCGCAGGACGCAGCGTGTCGCCGGGGCCCGCCGCGGCGCCTCGCTGAGCAAGAGCTGCCGGTCGCAGCCCTCGTCCTGCGACCGCGCAGTCCTTGCTCGTCCTGGCCGTCGCGCAGCTGGTCCCCTTGCGGCTGCCGCCTGTGCAGGCTCAGAGGCCCAGGCAGCGTGCGCAGGCACCGCCAGCGCGCCGCAGGCCGCCTCACGGGCGGCCTCCCAGGGCGGGCGGGGGCAGGGGCCGGGGCGATTGGGGCGGGGGCAGTGGCAGTCAAGTCATCTGGCGCTTGCTGGACTTCTAAGGCGTCTAGGGGGGCGTCCAGGGGGGCGAAGGCGTTTGCTAATGCAGCATTTGCGCACCCTCACCGAAGGCGTTTGGGCAGGGGCTGGGGCGAGGGGGCGGGAGCAGGGGCAGGGGCTTGAAGGGGTCGGAGGGCTCAAGTCATTCGGGGCGGCCATCTCCGTATTCGCGCCCTCGCGGGCTGGACTTCCCGCGGATGCGAGGTCGCACGGAAGACCCACGTTCCGCGCGGGGCAGCCGCGAAACAGCGCCCCGTATCCGCGGGGCCGCGTCCCAGGGGCCCAGCCCGCGACCAATAGGGATTTATTGGAAGGCAGGGTGTCTTCGAAGACGTCCCCTGCCTTCTCAGAGGACGACCCCCCTTGCGCCCATCTAGGCCTCCTAACTAGATGCGGTCCGAGTCGATGGGGTTGGAGGATCCTGCCGCATCGCCGATGCATCGGCGATGCGGCTCGATGTTGAGCCTCATCTGCTTCACGTCGACGTCGCCGATGCCTATCCGACGTCGCCGATGCATCGGCGATGCGGCGAGGTCCTCCGACCCCCTCTACTCCGACGCCATCTAGGAGGCCTCTAGCCAAACCCCCTTCTGCAAGCGACACACATTGATGTGGCTCGTCGCCTCCCTCGGGACCTCGCCAGGGTCCCCGGTCGCCGCGCGGCAGGATTTGCACCGAGATTGTGGCCACAGCGCACGCACGGGGGGACATCGTGTCGTCTCGGCCTTCGCTATTGACTCGTGGACATCGTCGTCTCGTGGACATATTCGTCGTCGTCTTCGTCGTCGTCGTCGTCGTCGTCTCGTCATCTCGTCTCTGGGGGACATTGTGTCGTCGTAGACGTCGTCGTCGGCCCCCCAGAGGGGGCCGCCCCGCCGATCGTTACGTCTACGTCCCAGGCCGTCTCTTCTGGTAAGGGCGAGAACGCCGCGGAGGAGAAGGAGGAGGAAGACCGCGAGCGATCCGCCCCTTCATCCAAGCCCCGGCCAGTGTCATGGCAGAGTTCGCGAGAGGTGGCAGCTGGGTCATATGACACAACCGCTGTGCGATCAGGAACGCTTGCGTGGAGTGTCGCGCCGCTGGTTCTGGCCGACCACGCTTCGGCACGACACGCGAGCCACGTTCCCGCTTCCAAGCGCCAGCGTCCCGAGCTCTTCCCGTCCTCCCGCCTCGCGCGGCGCAGCCACGCGCGACCAGCTCGCAGGGCAAAGCGTGTCGCCGGGGCCGCCGCCGCGACGCGCAGCACGATCGACCCGCATGGTAAAGATGGGCAACCTTCCCAAGGGTACCTCTGGATCCCTGCCTCCTCGTTCCACCCTTGGCCACTGTCCTTGGCCACGCCCCGCTCGACAAGCTTCGAGATGGGCGTCCAAGGCCCTTGCATTCAGGATCAGGCGTGCGGGCGCAAAGGCGGTCTGTTCCGCCGAAGCCCGCGCCGCGCCGCGCGCGGCCCGCGCGGCGCGACGCACGACCCTAAGTACTTCCGAAGGCCTCCAAAGATCCTCCAGGAAGCCAATCATCCTGGATCGCGCCTCCTCCTGATGCGGGCCGGCTGCAAGCAGCGGTTCCCGGCCGCCGCCGGGGCCCCGGGAGGATCGCGAGCGCGGCCGTGGCGCCCCCGGGGGCAGCGCGAGAGCGCGGCCCGCGGCCCCCCCGCGCGGTGCCCGGGCAGCGCCCGTCCTCGCCGCGCCCGGGGAGGAGCAGCTCCGCCGCGAGAAGGAGTCGGTGAAGGAGCTCGGCTTCCAGAAGCACGAGGCGGGGGCTCTGCACCAGCCTGAAGCCGGGCATGTCCCTCCTACAGGAGGACCCTTCAAAAGCAGTCCAAACATGGGATGGGAACGATTGTGTTCGACTATTGTTTGATATTTGTGAGTACTTTTCGATGGCTTTGCATTTTCCTTCCCGAATCCGCCTGTACGAGGACATGCCCGACCTAGGACCACCCCTATCGCCAGAGGAGGAGACGGTACCAATACCGCTGCGCTTCCCTCGCCATGGAGGGATGGGCTTCGAAGCCCTGGTCAGAGCGTTGCCCTGGAGAGGGCCGTGGATCAGTTGATCAGCTGCTCTGGTATTGGTTTGTGTACCCGCATCGGGGCGTCCAAGAGGGGGGCGACGACCAAGGGGGTGTGGATGTCATGGCCGAGGCCGTGGATTCTCCAATTATCAACTTCTCTTCTTCTTCTTCTTCCTCCTCCTCTTCCTCTTCTTCCTCCGTTTCCTCTTCCTCTTCCTCCTCCTCTTCCTCTTCCTCTTATTCCTCCTCCTCTTCTTCCAATTATCAACCTCTCTTCTTCTTCTTCCTCCTCTTCCTCTTCCTTTTGTTATTCGGATTAGCACTTGTGCTTCAAGGTATCTGGGCCCCAGTGCCAGTCCAGCCGGCTCGTCACAGCCCGTCGCCGCCGTCCGTCGCCGCCGCTTGCTTTTGGGCCCTCTGGTGCCGTTCCCGCCAGCTCGTGGCCGCTCGTCGCCGCCATTTACGTTCGCCCAGTCCTTAGTGGGCCCTGGAAACGACAGGGCCGTTTTTGTTACCGGTTCCGTTTTGCCGTTTTTTGGCCGGTTCCGACGCCGTTTTTTTTTACCGGTTCCGTCGCCGTTTTTTGACAGGTTCCGGCTCCGGTTCCAATCCTAGAGCCGTTTTTTGCCGTTTCTGGTCGCCGTTTTTTTGCCGTTTCCATTTTCACAAATGTCCAGTCGCTTTCGTTCACTTGCACTCGTCCACTCGCATAGCATATCACAGCATAGCACAGGATAACACAGGTTACCGTTGGATAGCTTCGCACAGACTTGCATAGCACAGAAGGGCACAACATAGCGTACAGCAGCGTGGTGCAGTCAATTCGGTGTGACTGCAGATTGCACCGTATCGATTGCTTTGCGGAGATTTCCTCGCACTGATCGACACTTCATAGATTACACTGCGTAGGCTGCATCGCACGTATGGCATCGCAGAGTACACCAGAACACCCTTTTCGGGGTCCACGCTGGCTATCATTCGTATTATGGTTGTTGTCCTTCTTCTTCGTCCTCTTCTTATTCTTAGTGATATTACTATTGCTTTTCTTCGTCTTCTTCTTCTTCTTCTTCTTCCAAGGCGTTCCCTTTCCTCCCATCGCGCGCACATGCCTTGGGTCATGATGCACCCCCCCTCCTCCTGGCCCCCCTCGTCGGCGCGAAGATGCTCGCGCCTCGCGCTCTCGCGGCCTGCGCCAGAGCGGCTGCCCTTTCTGCCCAGAGGGGGCGGCGCGGCTGCGCGGATAGGATCGCGCGACGCACGTCGCGGCGGTTCGGTGAGCGGAGGCAGGGTGATTCGATGCTCGTTTTGGGGACCTTTCTGGGGCCCACCTAATGGATCTGTTTGCTTCCAGTTTGCCTCTAGTTCGACTACAGTTCGACTCCAGTTCGAATCAGGTTCGACTCAGGTTCGACTCAGGTTCGACTCAGGTTCGTCTCAGGTTCGACTCGAGTCGACGGACGTTCGACGCAGCTTCGACGCACGAGTGGAGCGAGTGGCTCCAGGAAGGTCCCCAGAACGAGCAGCCAAGGGTGACGCAGGCGATCCACGTCATCTCCTGCCATCTCTGGGTGTTTTGGGGGGCTCATCGGCAGCGCTTGTCTGATCGGCTCTCGGGGGACGCCAGGATGCAGCTCCTGGGGAGGTGGACCGTCGGGATCGGCACTTGTAGATCCGAGGTCGACAAAGAACTGGCCCAACTGGCCCGCTCCATACGTAACCCAGGATTGAGATCGAGGAAGAAAACATTGCATGAGCAGATTGTCTCGAATGTCCGCGCAGATATCTCGGATCGGCGCCGAGGCCCTACTGACGCGCTCCGCGCGACGGGAGGGGAGTTCAGCGCCGATCCAAGATAGTTTTGTCTAGATTGCTTTCTTTTCCTCTGAAGCCACTGACGTTGAAATAGGCGAGACATTTGTTTGGGGTATCTCCTTGGGGCCCGCATAAGGGATCTCGTCGATTCTAGCTCGACTCTGATTCGTGAAGGTCGATTCAAGCTGGACTCCTGTCGACGGGCGTGCGACGCAGCATCGACGCTTGAGTGGAGCGAGTGGTTCCAGGAATGCCCCCCCAGAACGACGCGCTGAACTGAGGAGGCAGCTCGTGTTCTGAAGGGGCTCGCTGTTCCTCAGGTCCTTGCATGTCTGAGATCCTCCAGGGCTCCTCATGCGCCCAGGCGCGCCCTGTGGGCCAAAAAGGGCTTCGTTCCTCAGCAATGTAGAAGAGGTCAGCACTAAAGGAACCCGGCGTGACGTTGCCCCGAGTGTTTTTCCGGCTGCCCACGATCCATTGTCACGGGGTGCCCATGGCCGTGCCTCCACCCGCCCCCACGTTCACCTTTGCCGCCATCAGGGTTCGGCGCTGGGAAAACTTTGGCCGCGTTCGGCCTCAAGGGGTCCTCGCTGGGCCCCGGGGACAATCAGAAAAGCACTCGGGGCATGCCGCAAGCGGGTCTGGGAGGGAACCCGGCGTGACGCTCCTCGCCGCTCTCGGGGTCCCGGCGGCCCTCCCCAGGGCCCTGGGGCCGTCGACAAGATCGGGGCTTCAGAGACGGGGGTCGCAAACGGGGGTCAGCCAGAGAGCCGGATCGTGCAGGATCTTGCAGGGTTTTAGGTTGCATTGACCCGGGTTTGGGCGCAGGCTCCTGCAGGATCCCGCATGGTGCTGCAGGATCCTGCGAGGCCTCACTGACCCGGATCTGGATTGACCTGGGCCTGGAGATCCCAGATCAAATGGCTCAGGATGAGGGGCCGGTCCTGGGGACGGGCTGGTCCTGGGGAGAGCCCCAGGGCTGGTCCTGGGGAGATCCCTGAGGCTGCAGGACCCGTTTCCCTCGGCATCCTGCGTGCTTCACGCCAGGTAGGACAGAAGAGCGAGCGCACCTCCGCGGGCGGTAGAATCGCACCGCACGAGGTCAACCTCAAGGGGGACCCCCGTCCGAGACGTCCCCTCCTCTGATCCCGCGGGCAGCTCTTGCACAGGGGCGAGACGCTGCTCTTCGCCAGCACGCGCTCTCTTGAGACGAGGGGAGCCGTTCCCCGTCTGCGGGCATACCTCGCCCTCGCGCAGCGGCCCCCGCCGCTGGCGGGGGCCCGGGGAGGGGGGGGCGGGGGCAGCGCGGTCTCCTTCCGGGGCGGCGTGCTGCAGGGGCTCTGCGCGCGACGCACGTGCGGAGGAGGGTGAGGAGAAGGAGGAGGAGGTGAGCAGCACCGTCTCCCACCCCTGCCTTGGCATCGCTCGGGCGTGTGCATTTTTTCTCGGGCCAGGGCCATCGAGGAGCATCCTGAATCATCAAGCCAAAAGAACACGCGCGAAATCGAAAAGTGCACGGGGAAGGGACGTCTGAGCGACGGCGAGCTGCCGCTCCTGACGCCCCGCTCTCAGGCCGAGGTGGCGCTCTCAAGGGAGAGAGGGAGAGCTGCCCTGGGGGGAGCCCTTGCGCCTCCGAGGGGGGATCCTCTGCCGTCTTCGTCATATGGATCTCGGGCGGGCCAGGCTCTCCGATCCTTATCCTCCCTCGCACAGGCAAAGGGGGGGAGGCGACGGGCGAGCCGCGCTCGTCGCAGTCGTCGCCTTCATCGTCGTCGTCCTCCTCCTCCTTCTGTTTTTGATGTTGGTCGGACTTCAACCGGCTTGGATTGCAGCGTCAGGCCCCCTCCCCCTTTCCCTCCTCCTCCTCCTCCTCCTCCTCCTCCTCCTCCTCTTCCTCGTCCTTCTCCTGCTCCTCCTCCCCCTCCTCCTCCTCCTCCTCCTCCTCCTCCTCCTCCTCCTCCTTCTCGTCCTTCTCCTGCTCCTCCTCCTCCTCGTCCTCGCCATGGGGGCGCGCCGCCCGGGGCCAGGATGAGGGGCGGGGGGGACACATCCGCAGGCACTGAGCGGGGGGGGGGGGGAAGGGGGCGCAGGCTGGCAGGCTGCGCTTCGCGAGGTGCGCGGTCGTGGCAGCGGCAGCTGCGGGGGCGAGGCGCGGGCGAGGAGCGGAGCGCGGGGGCTGGAGCCGTCTGGCAGTCTGAGGTGGCCCAGCACTTGGTTCCTGCGCGCGCGACCGCGTCGCCAAAACTGTGCGCGTGTGCCCGCAGAAGCACTCGTCGTGGCTGACATCTGGGTAAGCGTTGCGCCTTCTATCGTTCGCGACGGTGCCGTCACCTCGCCGGCGTCATCATTATCGTCATCGTCATTCGCTATCGTTGCCATCATCATCACCATCAGCGTGGTCAGAATGGCCATCATTCTCATCATCATCATCACCACCACCATCACCATCACCACCACCACCACCATCACCATCACCATCACCACCACCACCACCATCACCATCACCATCACCATCACCATCACCATCACCATCGTCACCATCATCCTCCCCATGGTCATCGTCACCAACATCGCCATCAGCGTCGTTGTCCTCGTCGTCGTCGTCGCCGTCGGCGTCGCCGTCGTCATCGCGCTGCCGCGCGCCTGCGCGGTCGCCAGCTGCGCGCGCGCTCCCCGGGGGCCTCCTCGGCCCCCCCCGGCCGCCGCCCCCCGCAACGAACAGGTCGAGGCCTTCCGGGAGCTCTTCCTGGGGGGCGGCGACCGCACCTCGCTGTCGCTGGAG